CAAATAAGTGCTTAACAATAAAATGGCAGAGAAATCATGGCGATTGCATACAAAGATTTGGTAAGATTTTAGTGTATCAATATCTCTACTACTTAAAAAAACGAAGGTTCCCATTTCATCTCTCTTTCGTCTAACCTTCCATATATACGTCCCACTCTTTCCTTATCCTCTTGGTTTTTTCCTCCCATATTTGATTTTTCTCCCATCCATTCAATTGTCTCATGTTTATTATCTTATCAAAATAAACACATATTTTGTTGGCAAGTCATTAAATTCTTACCAAATAAGTGCTTAACAATAAAATGACAGATAAATCATGGCGATTGCATACAAAGATTTGGTAAGATTTTAGCGCATCAATATAATAATATACGTGGATTCTCAAAAACAATAATACAATAATAGACGTGCAGTCAGGGGCTAATCTACTGGAATGTTTATACTCCCGTTGCAACGCACGGGCAATTGTCTAGTGAAATTCTAAATGAAAATAGTGTCTCCATCTTTGAACGGTTGGTTGGTTGGTTGGTTGGTTGAGGGAAGGCCTTCATGGTTCTATATAAGAGCGTCTCGACACACCACCACCATCCCTCTCCCCCTCTCCCTCTCCATCTCTTTCTCTCCTCTCTCACTAGGACAAACTGCTCCGGCTCGTCGGCGACAGCTAAGGTATTTCTTCAGACATTTTCCCTATCGGCTACCTATCCTGAGGTGGTGCATGCCTTCTTACTGTTATGTGTAAGGTCGCATCCCTTGCTAGCTAGCTTCATCTTTCCTTGACTGAAAAACGCGCCCTCACAGAAATCTCTGTGATTCTTCCTACCAAAGTTCACAGGTGCTCTTGAACAGGTCGATTATGATCTCTCCTGTAAATCGTAGGGTGCATACTGCATGCATATAGTAGTTTTTTGTTTGTTTCCCCTGCTGAAGTATGCGTGTTTTGTTTTTGTGATGCAAACAACGATCGGCTGTATCACTTATGGTAGTTGTTTCTTGTCCTCTTTTGTAGTGGGAAGATCGCCGAGGAGATGGCCGATGATGCAGGGCGGGGCTCGTCGGCGGCAGCGGCGAAGAAGGGGAGGTAAGCCATTAATTAGTAAGAAGAGCTCTTGCCTGGCCAGGTGTTGTAGTTAGTTAATTAGTAAGATGGACAAGAGATGTTCTCCAGGGTGTTTTGATTCCGAAATACATGTTCATTGATCATGTCAAC